CCTACCACCAGAACCCGGGCTACTCGAAAACTTCGGTTCCCAAGCCCGTCAATCCCCGTGGATCCCCGTGAACTGAACTGAACTGAATTCCAAGGTCGTTGGCGCCTTACTTGATCTTTTTCGGCGCTTTCTGACCAGTTTTGTGACCTGCAATGGCGAGCACCAAATCTAAGCGGCGAACCAGGAATCGCACTCAGCGATATACTTCCAATGTTTTCTCTATGTTTACGGATTCACAGATCAATGAGTTCAAGGTTTGTGATTTTCTATGGTACTGTTCAGCGGTGTTCCTTGTAATTTTCATTTCAAAGTGACTTTTTTCAGATTTTTTACCTGAAAAACGAAAATACTCGACATTTTTCTTACTGTAGCTCATAAATTGCACGCGTTATTGCTTGGTGATGTAAAAGTTGACTAATGGTATGGTATCAACGTACGTAGATCTGTTCGTATGTGTTACATGTATGTGTAAGCCGACATATTGGACTTATCGGGGGTTCGTGATAGTTTTTTGACTCGTTTGCAATGATTCATTCGTAGAGAATTGTATAGTTCCGGATCAGTTTGTCATTTTTCAACTATCTCTTTGGTACGGCCCTAGAGAATATTTTCCCATAGCTCCCTAATTTTGTGAAAATTTGACGCGGGTCCTCTTACCGTATGTATGCAGTTCCAAACCCGTTTGAGAATATAGTAGTATACACCGATTTTTATGTGCTGTGGAGTATCAAGCCTCGTAATGCTGAAATGAGGAGTGGAAATGGGAAAGTTGAATCCACAAGTTTGTGAACTTTGGCCATGAATGTAGAAAGATTACACGAATAGACAAAGGCTTTCATTTATTCAGTTACTCCGGATAAAGAAGACTTCTACATCGCAATTTGTCAGGTGTTGAATGTCACCCGATAAACTGCCACTTGTGCACATTTCGGACCCAGCGACTATCTCCTTGGCAGAACCAAGTGCTTCGGTTAAGAAACTTGATCCTTCTCGTCCATAGTGACTGGACACCCTTGCATTACTCCGCCATCATACTCTCAGTCCCTTCTTTGCATCTTCTTCCGACCCGTAACCTTCTAACAAGTTGTTTACCACTCACCAAAACTCGTTACCAAATAGCACTGTAGTTTATACGGTAACTAAATAGCAGGCTCTGAAGCCCTGCAAACCTCTGAAACTGGGGTACTATCAACGTGTGGATTCAGATGCAAGCGTATCTGTCGCGCACAACAAAATTCTTAGTGATCGGTTTTTTTGCGTATCGGTTTTCTTCGCATGCTTCAATTTAGACTGCGACAAACAAATCACGGTAAAATAATCCTTATAAAAAGAAGAAGATCCATAATTTGCTTATGGGTGCCATACTGCCAGGTAGTCTCAAACCAAGGCACGTGAATGTGAGTGTGGTGAGTGTGGTTTGCACGCCTCTTGTTTGTTTTAAAATCAAGGTGTCTAGCCAACTTGCCTAGGTTTATTGTCAGCGGTTCACTGACCCGGTGGCCCCGGATGTTGACTTTTCGCCCTCCTTTCGGTGGGAAAACACCTTCGACACGAGTAGCCAGTGAACAGTGCTTCCTCAGCAAAGGCTGTTTGAAACGCCTGGTACTATAGATGCATTTCGAGGGGTGCCAGGGATGGCTGGTCAGCCACAACCCGATAAACCCACTCTCGATCATACTGAGGCTTTCGGAGGCTCGTATCTGTGACTGTCATTCAGGATCCTACTTCTATAGGTCACTTTGTTGCACCGGATTTATCTTCGAGCTACGTCTTTCGCTCACCATGCGACGACAAACCCGGTTCAGTAGGTCAGCATGGGGTAGATATTGTACTCAGTAATAGAGTCAAAGCCTTCCTTATCGATTGTATGTCCCCGTCAACAGTCGTTTATGTGTGATGCAGCTCTAGGGGTCAGTCAGCGTGCCGACAGTAATGCATTAGTAGTATAAGTGAATCTTTTTACTTCCTTTTTTCACTGGGTACACAAATGCGCAATCCAATTTCAGAAGGGTGAGTGGAGCGCCGCCATACAAAAGCTATCTAGGGGAAATGTATAAATGCGATGCAGAGGCAAGGTTCAAACTTAGGACTCCCAGGTCGTTATCTCGATGGCCTGAACGACGCGACCACCACCGCCCATCATATCAGCATATGCACCGGCTAACTGCAGCTCTGACACAAGGTCGTTTTCTACGACAAACTCGCCTGGCGTTAGCCGGGTTACCCCATCTGCAACTGGACTGTCTGCGATCTTCCAGCAGAAGCAAAAGTTCAATCTCGTATTCAAGCTGTTGAGCGAGGAAGAGGACGGGCTTTCTCCCACTCTGTTCAAGAAGGGTGGGGGTAACAATTTCGTAAGCTCTTGCTTATTTAATGCATAAGGTCTAATCACAAGAGCATATTCCATCATCCTGGGGAGAATAATCGTTTTGATTTTGAAGGAGGGATCTGGCAACAATTGCAGAAACCACCGCGGGATAAGTTTGATCCCAGTCGGCACCAGAGTGTAGGCCTCCGTCATACCTCAGCGACTGACTCAGATAAATCAACATCCGTGTACAGCAAGCC